GCGTTGTAATGCAGTAAACAATGTGCATTTTCCCTCTGTTTCAATGTATTTGCTCATATCTACTTTCAGTTCATATTAGATATGCTGAAATCTGACTCAGTGTGAATTTGCTCCGTTTTATTTTTGCTATATTAGTAAGAGATTTCACTTGATAAGTACTGTGTAGCATTTAATAATGGCACAGTTAATAAACTTGAAATGCTATGTACAAAATGCATTGTGTGGAATATATGTTTCAGATGTGCCATATGAATTAATTGTAGCATATGAGAACATAAAAATTACTGGTTTATGAAATTGGTATTCTGCAAATATGGTTGTAATCGTCATATTTATTTGGTGGCAGAAGAATGTGATTCAAGATTTTTCATAATATATGGTGTGCAAATATGAAGAACAGGATCTAGTGTCGATTCAGTGATAACTAAGACATCAAGGGCTAGAACATGCTCATCCCATGCTTAAATATAAGGTGCTGATTTGCTCGGAAACACACTTAGAGTTACTGCTGGAAAACTGCAAACTAAGGAAGTCTGTCTCTTTAAAAACATTCTCATTCACTTGTGGTTTTAGAAACAACTGGCAATTTGCCATTTTCACATAGGCTGGATTGACCCCACTCAGAGCCTGAAAACAGCAGGCGAGCAGATACTGTAAAAACGGAAAAGATTCAACCAAGAGGATCCTTGGCCTTGTTCTGGTATTACCTGGGAGTTGCCACTGATGTCTTTTCCACAAATGTCTGATTTCTTCAAAAAACAGTAAATCTTGTGAAGTTTATTTTCTTTGCAGCATCTGTGTTTTATAATGGTTCTTTTAATTTGTTTTCACTTTGTCTGGTGGGATTTCTTTTGTCCGGCACTCTCTGGCCTCCCCCCCCCTCTTTTTCTTTCTCTCTGGAAGTGAGTATTTTAATAATGATAGTTCTGGGAATTCACACAGGCCAGCTACATGACAGCACTTTTCCCCAGTGCAGCAGCGGAGAAGCCATTGTTACTCTCTTTTAATGTCCCCCCCAAACACACACACACTTAATCCCTGCCTCCTGTGCATTTTTTCTTTTTTTTTTTTACTATATCATGTCTGGGAAACTTGGACAAGCAGGAAAGACATGAATGAACGAAATAGTATATATCAAAGTATTCCCTAGATAAGAACACTGCTTTGCACACTGAACTTTAGGCATGTGTTACCAGTCCCAAGGCCCGCAGCTGTATACAGTAGGTCTGAATTACTGAAGGTCTTTCATTAATTAATGGTTAATGTTGGTTTTTGCTTTTCTAAGAAATTCGCAAGACCTTAAGAAAAAATATCCTGAATCCTGCAGAAATGCTAAATCCGACAGCATGTCCAGAACAATTTTGTCGATAAGCATTTAAGGTATCCATTGAGATTAAATTGTCTAAAAATCACGATTACTTTTCTTGATAATGCGGTACTGTATTTCATGTGATGGAAAGCGTTGGAAATCTGGATGACAATCAGCAGTTTATTTCCAAAAATATTTCTTCATTGATAGTTGAAGCTGGGTGGAATGACAACATGACATTGTGAGCTTCCTAGTGACTGAAACACTGCATGCTTCAGCTTTGCCTTAATAGACCCTTTTCCCCTTGGCCCTGTCTTTAATTGGTACACAATTTTTCAGGGATAAGTATTTAATCAAATAATGGCTCTTAATCCTACGTTCTTTCCTGACTGCAGAACATCTTTTCCAGTAATGACATCCAGTGGCTGTGTTGTAGACAGTGTTGCTTAGGCTTCTGTGAAATTTCTCCATGTACTGTAGGTTTTGCCCACATTGGCAAACTAAAGAATTACATACATTACCCTTTGCTAGGAGCAGTATTGACACAAGTCTATTAATTCTGAACAAGAATCGAGAATCAGTGTGCCAGCTTGCTGGAGCAGCACATTATTGCCAGTTCATTGTTTTTCAGATGGCATTTACTTGCACTTTGCCCTCCACTGTTGTGTGACATGAGGAAGACACTAAACAACAGATATATAAGCATCAGGTAGTTTTCTAAGAAAAACTCCAGACACTTTTTGCAGTATTTAAATGACTTGTATGCATGCATCTATTAGGGTAGTCATTTATACTTTGTTTCTCTCATGTTATTATATTTCCCAGTCTCTGTCTTTGATAATACTAAGCCAGATACATCAAAAACATGTCGGGAAGTGGAGGAGCTGTTGAGCTGAATTGCTTTGAATAGTCTCCAGGCACACATGTAGTGCTCTTCCCTAAGAACCTCCAAACACATCAGTATTTATCAATATTTTTTTTTGCATTCTATTTAAATGTACAGGAGTGCTGGGTGTCCATAAAAAAATTCCCACAGGGAACAATAAAATCTTATCTTATTTACAGAAAGAGTTACATGTATATGATGACATTAGAAGGATGTGTATAAGAAATTAGACACAAAAGGTAATTTTATATATAATGAAACTGTGTTTTTGTACAACCACAGTAGGTTAATCATAAGCACTTGCAAAGTGTCTTGACAATCAGTGCGTGTTTGATTACTCTTTGATTTTTAGAGGTGTTTCCTCAACTTTGTGTTGCTAGGTTTTTTAAACTTGTGACTGAATTTTAATTTCATCCAAGCGGTGAGACAATTTAATTTCAATTAAGTATTTCATTCCACATTTTGAAATCTCGTTACGTCTCGAGTTTTCCTTGGATTCGAGTGGGTTAATGCAGTGCACAGAAAGATGCTAAATTCATTAAGATTTTTCTTCTTTCTTTCCTACTTTTAGTCCATCTCAAGCACCATTATGGCTTTTCAGCCTGCTTCCTGTTCAAATTCCTTTTCTTTTCTGTTATTCTTACACACAAAAGGTGGCTGCACTGGGGGTGTAGTTGTTTTGAAATGTTAAGAACCCTCTCATGCTGGGGCTGTGTGGATTTGTGCTGGGGTTTGTGTAATGTCTCCCCTGAATGCACTGGTTATTTAGGGGCCTAAGACCTAATATGGCCTCTCTTTGATTAATCACAAAGCCGGCGTTTCACAGTATTAATGAAACATAGAGAAACGAGTTAATGATCTAAACCCTCTAAATCAGTGTTGCATGCCTGCTTGGAGTGCTTTGATTCCATAAAAAACAGAAGAGCTTTCTTTTATTGTGTTTTTTTTTCCTTTGTTTTGTTTCTTTATCTCCGTTTTTTTCATTTCCAGCAATCAGGGGCCATTGCCGTTTTCCCCCTTTTTTATGCTCTAAAAGAAAGAAGGCGGTCTTGATCGAGGCCATTAACTCGGATTTCTTGAAGGTCCGGGAAAGGTTTCTGGAAGACTAATGAACTTGAACTCACGTTTATTGTCACGGGGTGATCCAGTTTTCCTGGTGTTTTGGTGATGTGATTGTGAGTGAGATTTAAAGACATTGTTTGAAATCTGTAATTGAATTAGGCATGAAAAGGTGGAATTCAGTTTTTACTGAAATCTGTTCGTTCTATCCTATTAGTAAAACAATACCATTTATCTTGTTAACATTTTTTGTCCATAATAGTGAACATGTAGCCCAATATACTTTATTTTTATTAGATATAAATGTGCCCAAATGTTGATGATTGCATAAATTGTTCAATTTAGGTGATAACTGAAAATGAAATTTCGTATTCATTTACATTCAGGGATCAGTGTTTATTTTTAATGAAACAAACATAGTTTGTAATTAAAAGAAGATATTTTGCTCAATTTAATCCAATAAAGAATGTAATTTGTTTCCCTAGTATCAGTAGGAAATGAAAACATCCTTGAACAACCCTTCAAAAGATTTACTTACAGTATTTAAAAAAAGAAACTGTTGTTTTAATTTAAAATATGAAGTTTTAATGTTGCCAATATAATTGATAAAATATTTAATAATGATCTTTTTGTCAAATTTACTTGTTTCATTTAAGTAAAACAAAGTCTTCACTGGGGTTGGTGACCTTGAGAATCATGTGAAATGGTGCAGTTCCTATTTCATGATCAGCTCCATATGTGGTACATACATGTCTGTTTTTACAACTTGTTTAAGCACAATCTCTCTGGGCTTTTGTTTTTGTTTTAAGTACTTTTTCTGACATAGCCTTAAAAGCTATTAGGGCATCATAGGAAATGTTTTAAATTGTATAATTGCATTTTTTTCCTTTTCTCAAATCTGTTTTCTGTAAACTGTTATTTAGTGGTTTGGGGAATAAAAGTAGTTGGGAAAGGCTGGTGTGGTTGATTAACACACTGAGGCACTAATGTTCTTTGTCGCGTTGCATCTTGAGGTAGTTAGCCTCAATCAAAGCTCGGCCTACAAACGGAGTACCCCAGTCTCAAATCTCTACATGTCTGAGGGGCAGAGGGGGCTTCTTGTCGTTTTGAGGCTGGGCAGTGGTTACCCTCTTCGATCAGGGGCTTTTTCCACTCACAGCTGGTAAACTCTGACCCTCCATCCTAAAGCTGAAAAGTGAATAACATGGTTGAAATGTTACAGTGGTCGTACACATCTGTTTTCCGCCTCCAGTGTGCAGCTTGTCCTCCATTTATCATCACAGAAATAAGAAAAAAAAACCAGCACAGGGCTATGAAGTGATAGCACTTCTTTCCAGAAAAAATGCACGAGATGGTGGGACAAGCACTTCAAGAAATGGTCAAAATAAATCACAGCGTCTACATCCACAGAATCGTTCCCTGGATTTGGTTGAAAAGTTCTTCCCATAATTCAAATAAATCCTGATTCACTCAAATTCAGCAGTTTTTTTGGCAAACTTACAAAAAACATAATTTTGGGAGTTGCAAGATCAGACATACGCAGGTGTGTATATGAAAAGTCCATGTTTGTGTTCCGACAGTCCCCTCATAATTGTTCAGTCAGGGCTCAGAAACGAATAGGAAGATCTGTAGTTTTCCTCAGGGATTTTTTTCCATACCATATGGGGATGCTATGGAGATTGCATCTGACATTCTGGAGCTGTGAGCAATTCCTGAAGTTTTCTTCTTTTTTTGTTGTTTTTGCAGCCAAACTGAACAGCCAAGAGTGCTACAACAACTTCACCAACAACAACATGGGGAACCCGCGTCTCTCGCCTCTCCCCAGTCTGACTGTTGTGGTGCCACTGGCCCAGATCAAACAGCCCATGACACTGGGCACCATCACCAAGCGCACAGGGTAAGTACTTCATATTGCAGCTCCTTTTGCACCAGTCAAGCACCAGATGCCAAGCTGGAATTGTATTCCAAGTGCTGAAGCCAAATAAACAACTGCTTTGCATTACTGTCTTTCCCCTTTCCCCCTTGTTTATGTTAATGCATTAACTGAGGCAGCTGCACAGCCTGCGTTCATGCAGGCACAGCAGCCACGTCCTTGGACCTTAGCTTCTTGTTGCTGCGTTTGTTTTGCACAGTCAAATCTTTTGTCATAAAGAAGTGATGAGAAGGCTTCTGACATCCTGTACATTTTTCCTTTAAAGCTTGGTAAAGCAAAGTATTAATTAGCAAGTGCACTTCGACACCATAAATGCTGCTGTGTCGTAATGATGGGGAAATTGTTACTAAAAAGATGCTGTAAATGACGTCTGTACATCGTTCGTCAGTATGTCAAATAAAGAGAAGTGATGGTACTTAAGGGTCAATCATATCTATGCAGGCATTGTATACGTCAGGATACACATAGTATGTATAAGGAGTGGAGAGCCACAGTCTAGCAGACCTAACAGGGCACCCCTGGCATATACTGTATCTGATATCTGGGTACACAAGCCAGACTAATTCACAACAATTATCTTAATATTAATTTGCATTATTCAGTGTAATATGCAGCATACATTATTTGACATTAGGAAATATTATCCAAACGAATGCACTGTAGCAAATGACTGAAGTATTTCAGCAACCTTTTCATATTTATATTTTAATGCTTAGGACAATCTTTAACACTCCCAGCAAAATCCACCAGCACATTAAGAATAAGAAAATGAACACGAGTTTCCATCCCCTTTGTTCTGGCACATCCCAGGGTGTAAGATTCATATTGTCCCAGATGTGGGGTTTGTTCCAGCACATCTGGAGCTCACTTCTGAGGACATGTATGTCTACATTATGCTGTCTTCTTCAGCTGTTTGTCTAACTGAAGTAAGGACAGGATTTTTACTTCAAGTTAACAGAAAACCTTTTAGAAAAGCATGGTTAAAGGAGCCTGTGTAATTCCTTACATTTATGTACAATAATGATCCTAATGATCTCTGAGTGTGTAGGAGGGACCCACTTCATCCACCACTGAAGTGCAGCTCTGGCTGGGTGACAGCAGATGAGTTGAAGAAGTGAGAAATTTCTTCACTTGTTGAATTCAGATTGTACAAACCCAGAGTGAAATTGAGATAATTAGGGTCAGCTCCCCTTCTCTTATGAAAATTACCGTGTAATTTAATGATCTTTAAAGTAGTTGGGCCTTCAGTTTAGCACCCATGATCTACAGGACAGTGTCCTCGGTCAGCATACAGGGGCATTGGTTATGACCTTGGCATTGGTTATGGTCCAGAAGGAAAAGCGCCATCTACTGGTCCACCAATACCAGTTAGAGCAGAAGACTGGTTTTCCTTGGAGGCCTCCTATCCTCATCTCCTGCTGGAACAGCCTTGCTTAGTCTCTGAGATCTGATGGAGTCAGTCGTCACCTGATGTGGTGATGGTGCAGCTTCAAAAATACATCAGCAGCAGTTGTAAAACTGGGCTGGTAGCTGCTCCTTTCTGTCTGGAACAGGGGAAGTTTCAGTTCAGCTATGTTCAGAAATAAGCTAACATATTCTGTGGAGAATATCATGTACAGTATAGTGATATTGCTGTTTTTGTAGTGAAGTAGTGTAGATCTGACAGAAGTGAGGTGCTGTCTGTCTGCCTGGAAATAGTGTGAATTAGCATTTCTAGGTGGATGTAAATACTTAAGGGGAATACCATCTGGTTAACATCCATTTGTATTCTTGTCACTGCTTGGAAATCCCCTGAAACTCACTAGCCAACGTCAGTACATGTTCCTAACTAATAAGAAACTGAAAAGTAGGCGGTGTGCATATGCTTCTTGTTATTTATGTTGGGTATCTCAAGGCAAGACACATCTAAAGAGACATCATTCTGTAAAGTGCAATGGGAGAGTTATCGGAATAATAGTAGAATAATAGATTAGAAGAGTTCATAAAATTTATTTTGGAAGAAGGACGTATTGTACTCATTTTAAGGTATTTCACCTTGGAAGACCTTTATCAGTAATTCACCCCAAAATGGACTTGTTTAATCCGGGCTTGCTTGGCAGTATGACAGAGCTGAATGTTTGTGTTGGGAGTGAGGTAAGGTGTTAGTGCTGCCAGCAGAAGTGCTCATGGATGCTGATGTCTGACTTTTTCCTTAGACTGCAGGCATCCATAAGCGCTTAATTCATCAACACTGAACTCAGATAGGAAGACATTAAAAACGCACCAGAGTCACAAAAGGAATGATCGGGAAAGCTGTTTTGTTCGGCTGTACAAATAAAGTATGTCAAAAAAACTAGATGTTCCTGGGGGTTCTTTTGACCCTACAGATGTGTACAGATTAGTGCAACAAAGTGTTTTCATGTCATTGCCTGACAAGGATGAATTAAACATTGTGGTTAGGTTATTTAAAAGTTTGCTGGGCGGTGGTGCTGACTAAGTCCAAAGGGGTGTGGTCTGTTGCATGAAAGGTAACAGAATAAACGGCTGAACTGACGCTAACAATCAGGAGCAGAAATGCTCCATGGGTAAATGTGTTAAACGTTGTTTTGCTGCATTCTAAAAAAAAACGATTTCAGAATCATGGGTCAGTCCATGGCGTTATGGTGTGTGCGCATTGTTCTTTAGTAATCAGCGTGGGTGGGTCACATCTCCTTTTGACATCACATGGTGTGTTGCCGTCAGCGTTGACAGCTTTAATCAGTGGGGCTTTACGTCCTGGTATGAGTGGATTCTTGATGTCACTTCCCTTCCTGGATGGCTCGTTTTCCTTCCTGTTTATTAATTAGACACACAGGCACTTCAATTGGTTAAATTGTCCCTTTTTTTAGTGGCAAATTTGCCCTGCCCCCTTCCCCACTCGCCTCACCGTGCTGCCCTTTCATTTCTTATTCCTCATCTCCTCCACTCTTCTGTAAGCCTTTACTGCTTGATGGGACTTCCTGCTCTTGTGCTTCCATATGTTGGGTAGCTGCCAAACGTGAGAATGTATTCACTGTCAGCTTGATCTGTATGGCTCTTAATGAGGATATTTTACAGAGCTGATGTTCCTGAGTGACAACAGGAAACCCTGCTTGTGGCATTAATGCGTTTCAGGCCAAGCCACGGCTGAGTTTCCTTGTGACCAATTGGAATACTAATAGCTTTGAAAATTTGGGTGCATCAATTCAATAATTTCCATTTTTTTTAAAAGCTTTTTTTTTTGCTTGCGTCAATCTTTTAGGATAATCCAGTGTTTCGCTTTTTAAAAATTAGTCTGGCGTTGAATTTAAACTGTCATTAAATCCCCCCCGTAGCAGCACAGATAAAATAGTTATGATTAAACCACTCCTTCAATGCACAGTTTCAAACTTCCGAAGCCGCTTGTACCAGTGCAGGATGTACCAGAAGATCACATCGCATCACTGTCCGTAACCGCTTATCTAATTTAGGGTCCCAGGGGAGCCAGAGGTTATCCTGAGAAGCACTGGGCACAAGGCGGGATATAATCTGGATGGGATACCAGTGCACCGCAGGCACACACAGACACAAACAAGCATGCATTCAGACCAGGGGCAGTTTTTAGAGAAGACAATCAACATCCCAGTAAACATGGGGAGAACATACAGGATAGCACCCCGGGATTTGAATTGCATCACCAGGCAGCAGTGCTGCACACCGTGCCACTGTACCGCCCTGCACCAGAAGATATGGAGGGCTAATTATTTCAATATAAAGGTCTTCCGGAACTGAACATCAAAGGGCAAAATATTCCTAAAAGAAGTATTTAGACTGCGATGATACGTGAGTGAGCAAATAAACAAAAGTTTTGTGGCTGCATGCTTGATGTTTCTGAATTACTTTTCCTGTAAGGACAGAGTTCAGGCTCATCTTCCATTATTACTGTCAGCACAATGTAATTTACTGTAAACAGTTTATAAATCTGTCACTGCCTTTGAACATGCAGGATAAACACAGGAATACACTCCCGCTTTTAATAGCTGTTTAAAATTTGAAAAACATACCCCCTTCCTCCACCAGTTCAGGCAACCAATAAAAGCCGGAGGCAGAATTGCAGTGCAGTTACACTGGCATGGAGAGAGTCCATTTTTGAACTGTGCAATGGAAAGGGAAGTGGATCTAGAAGTAGAACTGAAAGAACAAAGATGTTAAACTGTCTCCAAAGCTGGCTTTGATCAACAACTTTATTTCATTTTTAGCTGCAAAGTATGAATCGATAGTTTTTGCCAGCTTTTCTGTTTTTTAGAAAGCATACGTGTCTCTGAAATCCCTCTCTGCAGTAAACAGCACTTTGTGTCCACAAAATCAGAAAAGCTCTGTCTTTATAACCTTTTCTATAAGGCATAGCGCAAAGGGGATTCAGCATCTTTTCTGCTGCAGTGCTTCCAATCCTGATGAAAATTAAAATAAATGTTTCTGATGTTTACAAGAATCTACCTGTGACATTTCAGTTGCGCCCACATAGCCTGGACACACAAATAAAGTCTGTTTGTCCTTCTTTGTGTGTTGCACAGCTATGCAGACATGTATACATGTTTTATTATAACTGTTGCACAAACGATATGATGATAATGGTTTTTCCATCTATTTCTGTGTATCTCTCTCCCTTCACGAAGACCCTACCTCTTTGGGGCAGGATGTTTTTCCATTAAAACTCCATGGTGAGTTTCCAGTTCACTCCCAGCATGCCTTGCTTCGTATTCGCTTCAGTAAACAACTGCATCCATTGTTGTCATTGTTTTTTTTTATTATTTTTGCTTTTTTAGAGTCTCTTCAGTAAAGACTGGTTACAATATTCACGCATTCCAGGATGAAAACTGCAGCACTGGTTTTATTATTTAGCCTTTATTACCTTCTTCTGGTGTTATTTTTTGTGTTACAGTAGCACAGAGTTTTTGTTGAACTTCAGCTTTCCAAAGAACTTCACAAGTTAAGGCTTACATTTTCTGTATAACTCAAGGGTATTACCGACCCAAGTATTTGTTAATTTGCAGATTCTGAATTTTACAATTATAATTTATTCATTAGCAGGCACCCTTATTCAGTGCAGCTTGCCATGTATAAAATGTACAATAAATAACATGTATTGCCATTCAGCAAGTGAATAAAATACAAAATAAGGCTAGCACAAGCCGCAGTGCTCCTTCTTTGTGAATTGTTTTGCTTTTTTGTGAAGGTACGCCCTCAAGTTAAACTGTATCTGTGGTCATTTATCCAGTGTGAAAAGAAACCCGGCATTTTTTTACTTTGGACCCTTTTGATATGGGAATGGTATGACCTAGCAGTGATTGGCAGGGTGCAGAAAATTAAAAGACACAGCCTAAGCACTTGGGGAGCTTGGAAGCAGCTCTTTTCTGTGCTTCTCTGTCTTGCGGTTTATTTGAAGCCACCGCTGCAAATGAATGAGCTCTCTCATACTGTTTGCCATGTCCCTTGCTGAAATACAAATACTGTTTATTTAAAAATAACATCTTTGTCCTAAAATTCACGTTGTTTTCATTATGATTTTATAGCCCTTGGTGACATTTTGGCAATGTTATTGAAATGTGCGGTATGTGTAACATATTTCAGATTGTACACAGCAATTTCTGTGTGTTATGTTCATACAGAGTGTAATGTGGGCTCAGAAATCCGTCTTTGCTCTTTAATTTAATGTGACAATTTTATAATCTTATTGTCTAGTGAAATAATGAAAAGCTTGCCTTTGCAGCTAAAAAAATTCTCTGAAGTTTGATTAAATGAAAACTCATTGACAGGAAATTTAAATTTTGTTTCAGCTGATGGTTTAAACTAAAGGAATAATTTACTTAAGTAGTTTTATTCTGAAACAAAAACGATTTTCAGAATTCATCATGAACTTTAAATTGGTCTTATTATCAACTTGTTATAGGTTATAGTTTGTTATGTCTTGGCTTTTGTTAAAAATAATGTGTAAGATTTGGCTCTCATTTTATTGTTTAGACTCTGATCTGAATCATAACTTGTTGCATTGCCCATGTCTAGAACTCTTATATCTATAAATCAGTTTTATAAGCAATTTGTGCTCCAATGCCTGATTGTCTTATAAATAGTTGTATAACAGTGATTCAAAATGGAGTGGGTTTCCAAACAGGTAAAACCCTCAAGTCAGTAAGTCCAGAATGGGTGAAGGGCAGATCTTACACCAAGCAGATTTTAAGCTTCTCTCTAAAGTTCCTCTGCAGCCAATTGAGTTAATGAGTTTTTTTTGTCATGCTATCAACAAAAAGCCAAATATCACAGATAACGTATTGCTTTCACAGAAGACATTAAATGTATTCTTAGAAAAAGAGATCTGAAGCAGTCGGGCTCTTTCATTACTCTAGAGGGTGAAGTTACGTTTCTGGCCGTGCAGTCTTGTGAAATAAGATGCTTACGAGCTTTTAAAAGAAATCCCATTATGACAGAATCACTTATGTATAAATGATAGAGTACTTCAGTTAAATGAACTTTTCTTCTGAATTTCTTGTCCTGAGTTCCCAGTGTTGATTCTTTCACAGTACGAAATGAAGTGCATGTGGTGCCTTTCTGTCATGAGTAGCCTCAGGGCAAGCTATTTTTTTTCCTTTAGTCCTAAAAACATTTATACTTTTGAGTTTTTTTTCTTCCTGTCAAGCTTAGTCAGTGCATAATGTTAGTGCAATGCCTTGAAGCTCTGCTCTTCTTAGAGATAAAACACTGCTACTGTAAACCCCTAAATTTTAGGTATTTATGCAGTGAAATATTGTCTGCTGCATTGTTCGTCAAGCAGTAGCTTGAAAAACAGCTTAATTTTAGAGTAGCATCAGAAATGAAAATACTTTTAACACAAATCTAGTTTAATGATACATCCACATTATGAATTACTTTCCACTTCGACGTGTGAACTTCAAGCAGAAATGACTTTGTCATGAGCGACAGTGCAAACCTCAGGTCTAATTCCGAAATAAAAAGCAAAGGTTAGTGATTTTTGTTTCATTCTGTGATTGCCACAGACAACCGCTTCTTCTAGTTGTGCGAGCTAAAAAAAAATTAAAATAAAAGTCGCATCTGTAAGATTCCAATATTTATATTTTCTTTATAAAAATAATAACCACTTAGTAATGAACACGCTCAGATGAGTGTCCTGCACCCTTATTCATACTGAAACCCGTGTGGGAAGTGGATGGTGAGAGATCTTGTACGCTATTGTGCAATTACATGAGGTCAGAATAACAGTTAAACATAGTAACATGGCAAGATGTGGAACCTACTGCACGAACTATTTTTGGCATCCAGCGTATTTTTTAAAAAACGTTTGTCTTGGTGGTTTTATGATGAGGTGGAACATTTCAAGGCTCTGAAAATGTTGTATTACAGATAGAAATGGGTGTTTTGCTTTTATATTAAAACATGCTTGCATTTTACAATGGTTATCACAGCATAGTTTTCTCCCAAGATCTTTTTTTTCTTTTGGAAAACCTATGAAATAATAGAGGTGACTTTGAGGGATAATCATAGGCTGGACTATTTTGAGCACGTCTCAATGTCTCCTTATTTCTCTTATATCTGTATTAACTATAGACTGAGTAACTTTGTCATGTTCATGATTCAAATGATTGTTGCTATTTCTGTTTCTGGACACTTGACAGAAGTGAATGGAAACATATTTGTTTACTGCAAACTTTCAAAATAAATAAAGCCTGCTGGTTCCCAAACGGCGCCTCATATTCGGCATGCTTATAATGCTCAAGGACTTTGATGGTGGACATTTCAGATTGAATTATGTCTTCGAGGAAAACCCATTAGCTTAGTCAAGAGCCCTCATTTGTAAAATTAAAAGTGGAGATGACATACATGTTTGTACAGCAGATACAAACTCTGAAAAATAATGTAGCCATTGAGTATATTTGCATGCAAGAAAAAGTTACGGTAAAAAACAAGTTAATTAAATGTATGAGTACAGATGTAAAGTAGAAGATTATTTGGCTTTAGTTGCTGAACCTTGTACACCAACAAGTATGTTTTTGTAAGTTTGTCCTCTTGCCTTTGGTCTTCTCTGCACATGTCCTTCCTGTGCAGGTAGACTGGGGAGCAGAAATCGTCAGCCTGCTTTTCTCAACAACAGCATTTCTCAACAGAAACAATGCTACGGTGGGCCCTTTTTTTAAAGAAACTAGGCTTTCTGTTGATTTTCTTTGCTGCCTACTGAGGCCTCTGTATTCCTGGTTCAGCCATGTGCCAGTGGAAATCATGGGACTGATAGGAGTCTGAGCCCATCAGCACAGAGTTCCCCCAGCCCAGCCCCTGGCATAAGGGAGTAGAGGTGCCTAAGAAAATCCTATTGGGTTCTGGGAGGTCAGTCCGATGTTATCGCATCAAGAGCGGCCAGTTTCCCAGACACAAGGCTAGTTCTACTGAGTATGATTGAGCTGGTACCGAATTATTCTGGGTGCTTTGTTTTCATGATCATATGTGGATTTGCTAATTTGTCATAGATTGTACCAGTTTATACATTCTGTAAAATACAACCTTTACTTCATTGCTGTACTTATTATTCAGAGACTTTCTGTTTAAACAGAACACTACTCTATTTTTGTATGCTGCATGGTTCAATGTATAGAGTTCAGTTCCTTTGGTAGTAAAATTAATGTTAACCTATTCTGGAACAAAAATTTTGCTTCCTGTGTTATTGAAACCAGCCGACCACAAACTTCAAGGCTAAACATTATAAACCAAGAGTCCATTCATACTTTATAGATTAAATAAAACTGTAAAGGCCCAGGCTCCTCTGGACTCCCACACTATAAAGCTGGTGATCCCATTCAGTTTCCAAAAAGCCACAAACAGCAGAATGCTGTGATATCAGTGTAGTTTTCTACTCTTTTCAATCCCGAAACCTGTTTTTTTCAGTGGAGTTGGTTCTGGGAAGAATATTCACATGTAGTTATTTCATCAAGGATGCAGTAGCTGTGAGGCATGAATTCTACACTTTGCAGAACAACAATAATGTAGTAGTTTAAAATGTGAAATGGTAAATTTGATTATTTTCACAGAAAGCGGTATCATAGGCATGAGTCACCATGATGCTGTAGTGTTTGTTTTTTTGCTCTGAAAGGAGATGACACTCTTAATGGCTGGGTGAGTGTTTTCGAATGCACTCTTTTTTTATTTATAGCTCTCCTTGGATCTCAGACCATGTAACCCTCTGATATTTGAACAATCAAATTTCTGAGTTTCTATCGCTAATAAATATGAAACAGTCAATTTTCCTGGGTTTGCAAAAGCATCCTTTAAATGGTGTTAGTTAAACAAATTCATTGCGCATTCTGGGACTCACATAGGAGTTGCTGACAATTAAACGGAAAGCAAAAAAACATCAATTAGTATTCCATACAATTGCAGAAGAGAATCGCAGGCTTTAATGTTCTACAATTTAAATGTGTTGTAGAAAAGTAATACTTTGAATAACTTCTATTTTCAGAAGAACAATTGAATATAAAACTAACTTATTATATATTCAGGTGGGTAGCTGCGTCAGCATGCGTAGGCTGCAAAGGAACAAGTAATAGGTTTATTCCATGCTGAAAAAAAGAAGAAAGAGAACACAACGTTTCGGCCGTGGAGCCTTCTTCAGGTGTGAAGAACGCACCTGAAGAAGGCTCCACGGCTGAAACGTTGTGTTCTCTTTCTTCTTTTTTTCAGCATGGAATAAACCTATTACTTGTTCCTTATTATATATTTGTGACAAAGTACTATAACAAAAGTCTATAGGTTAATTGAATAATGGTGTATTTTACCATGTGCTTTTGAAGAAGGAAATTTACCAGCACTGACTGGAATTCTGTAGTTTGTGAATTTTGGTAAACTCTAGAAAGGAAGTTTCAGTGTGACTGTGCATAATTCCCAAAGCTAAGTGTATCCACAATGGGCCTCACTTTTTTCCCCCTGAAATGTATTAACATGTGTCTGCAGAAAACTGTTGTATGATATGTTAAACTTCAAAGCTAGTTTCATGGCCGGGATGTAAAAGGCAAGTTTTACAGTTGAGGTTAGCCATGTGCAGGACAATAATATTATCAAGCTACTGTTCTGTGATGAGTTCCATATGTAGGCCTATCACAGCAAGGAACAATTTTTGTATTGGATTTCAGAAAAAATGTTTCTGGCATGCATAATAATGCAATAACTCGCGATAGGAGTGCTTTAACCAGCTAGAGTGACATGTAGAGAACCAGATGAGAGTGCAGCATGTACGACACAGGCTAGGAGTTAGAAGAAGTTGATACTGTTTCTTCAGTGTCGGCATAGTACAATAACAATGGCATAGCGAACATAGTTTGGATTGTAGGCTTATGAATGATAGATTTGCCTTAAGCCTCCTCAGTAAGATGTTGATGACAGCGTCCCATGCGTTATTGTACTGGGAAGAATTCCCAGAAAGGTAAATCATGAACAGGGTTTAATGGCTGACACCTTTAGGAGCTTACGTCAGATGTTCTTGGAGCGAGATTTTGGTCTCCCTACTAATTCCCAAAATAATAGAAAACATAAAAGATAATTGACAATATAGATGACAATATGTTTTACCACTGAAAAGGTACAGTATTCATTGGTATTATGATGCTGCAGTACTGTGAGTTAGCAATTTGATCATTAAGCTGGTGACATTTTCTAAACTAAAATTAAAACAGTATAGCATCGTTTTTTTAGTTTTTATGTTTAGTTATTTCTCATTAACTACCGGACCCACCTGTGCTGTTCATTTCTTCGGTTTTTGTTATTCATTTGCATGGGGCTTAATTGTCTGTTTGCTCTTTGTTTGCTGATTTATTTAAAAAAATGTTTTAAGATGTTCTTTAATAAAAAAAAATACTTTATTATATTTTAAGGCTTCATCTGATAGAAAATGCCAGACCTTGGAAGTACGTAGATATAATTGCTTTGAACTTATCAGTTTTCTTGTTATGTGGTTTCCCTTTGTAAGTATTTGATTTTTTGATCCACCATGTCGGTGTCTTTTAATCCAAATCTTGACAAAGCATTTGTTAAACTTCGTATTTCCATTTTTCAGTGGTTCCGCAAAGATGTGAGTGAGATGGTTATAAGGATTTCTTTTCCTTTTGTTTCCTAAAGCAAAGCTAAACCGGCTCCGCAGATTTCACCCAGCAAGTCCCTGGGGGGGGAGTTCTGTGTGGCGGCCGTCTTTGCATCTTCCTTGTCCTGGTTCGTCACCAACCCCAACCTGAAGAGAGAGAAAGGTGAGGCTTTCCCGTGAGGAAGAGGAGGAGCGTGGCTGTGCACTCCTGTCACCAGTGGATCAGCGCCGTGCTGCGTAGGAACACGGCATCGTGAAAGCTGTGCACACTGGAGCAGGCACGATAGCAGAATGGCCTTTCACCCTGAATGTCCAGGCCAAAAATCTGGTGGCTTTTTGGATTAACTTTGAAACCTTTTCTTTGTTTTCTTTTAATTATGTGATTAAGTGTCACAGATTAATTTTATTTGTGTCCGTAGTTATTTTTTCCTGCCCTTTTTTCAGAGCTCTGAAATTTCCTATTTTCAACTTGTAATCGTCGGGCATTTATTACTTTTGTAATCCATCGCTAGAGTATGTACTGTAGTAAGAAAGCATCTTCCAGTCAGATACATAGACAAGATACCTCCTGACAGCCCCTGCTGTGATGAGGCACTTGTTCTGAACTGTGGCCCACGATGCCGTCTGCTGGCTTTATTCTCCAGATCAGTCCAAGCAGTCTGTAGTGGAATCCCTCTTCATTCTCAGTTGTTATGGTAACCTGGTGGAACATGTGCTGGAGCCCCGCCCAATCAGCACAGCTCAGAAGATCAGCGATGACACGCCTCTAGAGCTGAACACCTGTCCCCGAGCCAGCTGGACCCTGGCCAGGTATGGGCTTCCTGTCACAGCTGCTGTCACTGTCACTGCTGTTGTCACTGCCATACCACATGTGCCTTCTACGGGCAATCCTCTGCCCAAAACACATCATCTGTAATCTGTGTGGCATTCAGCGTGGCAGCAAGTGATGGATACAGATTTATTGTTTTACAACAGGTCTTGCTTGTTCGGTGTAAAGAGGAAGACATGTCAAAAATGCCTTGCTTAAGGGTAGGAATAGTCCAAAAAACATTTATTTTATAATAGATGTTTTTTTACTTTTCCTAAGTACATACAGTACAAGCATTGTTTTGATTTGCCCACTTTATTATTATTATCATTTGAAGGGTTACAATGAATGTGTTTGAGGTTTGCTTCTTTTTTGTACTTCCTTATTTCCTACGAGACTGATGTTAGGAAAGAAAATACACAAACAAGGAGTGCTCCATCAGATTATCCTGTCGTGTCAACAACTATCCTGTCAAAAAGTGCTTTTTTTTTTTTTGCTTACTTCTGAGCTCTAGCTCAGAAGATCAGCTAAGGATCTTGCAGAGGTCTGGGGTGGTTGCTGGAAAAGCAGTAATAAAAGCGCGTCCACGTCTTAGCACTACAGTCAGTTTCTCACCGCGCGGGACTTTTTGACGGGCACTTTCTAAATTGATTTTTGTGTTTGTTTTGAGTAGGACACCGCAATGGAACGAACTGCAGCCACCGTTCAACACGAACCACCCTTTGCTGCTGGCCTCCGATTCCGTGCAGTTCTGTCAGAACCTCCTTGCTGGCTGTAAGTGCAGGATGGATGTCTTTACGTTCTGAGAGGAGAGTGCATAAGAGCATGTCCTGCTGATTTATAGTGTTTATCCTCTGCAGGAGATTATTTTTAACGTGTTATTGGTGCCACATGCTGTGCAGGACCCTTTCAGTAAGGCCAGTGCTGTTTCCTTTGCTTTGTTTTTTCCCTTTATTGATAAAAAAAAAGCATGTGAATTAGTCTTGTTGGGGTAGTGTGGACTGAAATTAACCAAATTTAATTTCATCGGCAGCACCCTGAAAGAAGGCCTTAGTCGCTTTTGAAACCGTGCCTGCTCTGCATATTTCGTGACATATTGAATTAACATTGAGATGAGGTGAATTACCAGAGCTTTAAACTAGTGTAATCCAATAGCAAGTCCAAAACTAAAAAACAAAATACTGTTTCTTGACATCTGTGTGGCAGGGAAAGGTAATTTGAGGGTAAACAGCTTATGGGTGACCAGAGATGTAATATCTCTTGAATAAGCAAGCATTGTTGCATTGGATAGATAATAATAAACACAAATTGGTAATTAGCTCTGTGTGTTCTGCAGGCAAGCCATTCATTTCTTCTTTTTCACTAAATTCCACATGCTTAAGGCCCAACGGGTAAAATATTGTCCTGAATTAGTTATTATAGCCATCTATGTGTCGTGCCCATGAAGCCTTGCGGTGTGATTGAGGACAGAAAGATTCAGTATGCACAGCGTATAGATGTTAACAAGGAGAGCAGTTAAATAATGAGATCTTGGTTTTTAACATTTATATCCAATTAATGCCGCTGAAACAGCTTTTGCCCATTTGCCCATCATGGTCTCCGATAAATTAGTGTCACAAGTTATTACAATACTGTGACAACATGAGGGTCTAAATTAAAAATCTGTTTTCATTTTGTGTAATATCTATTGATAGTGCTTTATAAATATACCATATCAAAGTGATTTGCAGTGAGATTACATTTGGTTTTAGATTTATAATTACTCAGGTTTGAATAGATACATAAATTAAGGCTAATAGACCAGCGGTAAAGCAAAATTCAACATATTTTAAAATTTCTGATATCATGCAGTTTTCTTCTTGATTTTACAAGAAGCAATGAAAGTTACTTGTCATGTTAGTGTTAGAGGATGTCTTACAAGAAGAAAGACCAGCAAAGATCAGAGGTCTGCAGTTTAGAAAGCAGAGATCACCTTGGTGAGGCTGAAGAATATGAGATGTGGCAAAGTCAAGGAGAAAACAAGAAAACAAGTCTCTGCAGTTGACATCTGAGGATGGAGAGGCCAGGTTCCTACCCAAAATTAGATGGTTGGGTACTCCAGATTGACAGACCAGTAAAGATGCTGAACCTTTGAATGTCGTCTCATAGCTGTATCTGGTGGTATTATCTCCTGTTCAGAAGGTTGGAGAAAAAAAAAAAACACCACCAACAATCAAAGAAACCCCATAAAGGCCCGTGGAAACATCGGCTGACAGGCTGTTAGGAGGCAGAAGTAAATGCTTTTAGGAAAGGGGCTGATTGACAGTGAAGTGTCTGCAGCTCTATATTGGATGACCCGGTTGATTAAAAATGCAGTATGTGGACATGGAGGTCAGAGGAGCTGGGGTCTACTGGGCATGTGATAAAAGCTACAGTGGCGCCACTTCATGGTCACTATCTCCACCTGTCCATCTGGCCAGGTCTGCCCTATACCTCCCAGGAGCGTCTCAGCATCCTGTTGTAGAGGAACACCAGGAGCTATAGCAGACTGAAAAGAGCTCTTAACACATGATGATGATGATGATAATCACAATAGTGATGTTTCTTCTGTTCCAACTTCTCACAAAGAATTACATTTTTCGTTGTCTGGTTAACATGCTTACATTTGGGCAAGTTTTATCGTATTGTGGAAGTAATTAAAATTTATGCAGCTATCGTTTTCTTCTCATTAGCATAGTACATACAATATTATACAAAGTACGTGCTCGTGCATTTTTTGGTTTCTGAATTACAATCCATACAAACTGTAGATTTGACATTATAGCATAATATACATGACCTACATTTTAAAACTCAAAGCAAAGTTCTCTAAGAGGCTTCTTGAAACTGTTTTAAACCAGAAATGATGTTGTGTTTTCGAATGATATATTTATGAGGAGTTTTAGAATTCAAACCATATGTTTAGCACTTTTTATGAAGCTGAGGTAATGGAGATCTGTGCTTTTCCTTTTAAACATTTTAGGGGTTCTGATTGTGGGTTCATTTGCAATAATCATTTAATTTCATTTACAAGTGAGACTTTTTTTTTTCCGGATTCACCATTTGCTCAGTATTACATACCCCATTTCACAAACTAATAGAAAAATTACTGTTCGTGCAGCTTTCCCAGTTGTGTGTTGAGACACTTCTTACAAACCATGTGACAAACCCAAGTAAGCAGCACTAAATAATTCACTTCTCCTTGGCTTCTGTCAGCTCCTTTGTAAGCGAGTCTGTTAGCAGCCTGAACGTTCTGAGCATTACCTGGCGCGGTGCTCTAATTGTTTGCAATGACCCTCTGGGGTCTGGGTCTCATTGATGTGCCATCCGTTTTATCAATACAGCTAATTGCTGTACCTATCAAAGAGCCTCAGTTGGTCAGTGGCGGGGAATCAGGCTGCTGCTGCTGCTCTGGCAGTAGAAAAAAAAATCTGTGGCGCCATTTCAGGGTCACTACTGGAGTGATTATGTCAGGGTTAGAGCACAGCAGCCATGTTGACCACTCTGCTGTAAAGTCTTTGTCAATTGTTTGGCTCCATTATATGGGGGGAGGGGTGCTGGAAATCAAGGCCTCTCTTCTTTACCCTTTAATCCAGATAGTATTAGTAGCATGGCTGGACTTTCCTTATCTTTTAGAACAAGAGCACCTTCGTCCTTAAGACACTGAAATGCTGCCTACACCACGTTGGTAGGGAAAAGCCTCCTGCCGCACATACAGTAATTGCATAAAATTAAAGCTTGTGGTGCTGCAGAAGTGATAGGACACAATTTGGAATAAGGCTTGTAATAATAAAGTTTATTTTGTAAGAATGGAAGTAAAGACAAATATTTCAAAGAACCTAGACAGCGGAAGTTAGGATTTTCACAAAGGGCAGAGTGGTACAGTACCACATTTAAAAAACAACACTCATGCAAATTTGAAGTTATTTGCATTTACCAAGGGCTGTTAATGTTTTAGAAATGGGTTATAGAAAATTATAATGCAGTTTAGAATAAAGCACTGTCCTTATTTAGATAATTGCTGCTCACAAAACATTCTAGCATTGTACCCATTGTTTTATTAAAATCTTAAGTGGCTTTTATATTTTGTTTTGTGCCCTGTTCTTTTTCTTCAATGACAGTGTAGTATACTCAGTTGTCTTGTTCTGTGCACAAAATGTCATTTGTCTTTATGATATTCCACATAAAATTTACACTCCATATTTAAGAGCTTCTATGCCAGGGGCAAATTATATACCTTTTTCAAGTTTTCCGCTGCAAACTTTCAAGTCGTCTTGTAAACACGTTTATCTAATTGGTTGGGTGAAAAGGACAATATTTGTTTTGAGGGATAAGCTATTCTGTGGGCAGAGAAGTCCTAGCACTTTTTGTGTTGCTGCAGGCTGAAGATCCCTCTCCTATCTAGGCTGCTGAACAGAGGCTCCTAAATAGTGTTTGTCATTGTCACTTGCCATGTTCCAGAGTCTGTAATGACGTATGGCATTCTGCATCCTGTTTCTAAAACATGAAGTTTTAGTGATGGAGGAACTGCTGATGCATACTATATCGCCCTTGATGATCTCATCCACAGCTTTTAAAGCTGGTGGTGCTGTTCTCAGTGCCTTGTGTACAGTACATAGACATAGTTTTTTCCTGGCCTTCCCCTTGTGTTAATGAAATACCTCATAAAAGCTTTTTCTACCATTTCTTTGATTCTAGGTGACGTGTATGGAAGATGTGTTAATCTAGGTGACTCGTATGGAGGATGTGTTAATCTAGGTGACTTGTATGGAGGATGTGTTCATCTACTGTAGGTGACTTGTATGGAGAATGTGTTCCTCTAGGTGACTCGTATGGAGGATGTGTTTGTGGAAGAGGCTGTCGCTGGGAACACAGGCCTCTACTGTGGCAGGCATGGCTCTGCTAGATCGAAGCTCCCTCGGGCGGAGGGATGTCCTCTAGATAATCACATAGGAGCCGTTGACTGTGCTTGTCAGGACAGCTAATGAAAGCCCAGTGAAACCTGATACACCAAGTGACTGACTCTTAGAAATCTTAAATAATTAATTAGTGAACAGCTATTGCACCCTGAGGTCAGGGAGCAAGGAGGAGCCTTGATTGGGTTTAATAAGTAACACAGACTGGCTTTGTTCTTTTCTATTAGAGAACACATGAGAAATCAAAGTACCTGGGTATATGTACGTTACCCTCTAGTAATTTACAGCATCACCACTGGGTACACTCTCAGAACATTAACTGTGATCACGTGTTATTAAACTAATATAAGTCTTTAACAAATAAATCCGTATAATAGCATTTTCCTCCATTCTGACTATACACTTGCCGCTGTCCGTAACAAATGCATTTGTGCTGTTGGGAGAAAAAAAGCCCCCATTGAGTGGATTTTGGTTGAGAACCTGGTTGAATGTTTAGATATAATAAAACATCACAAAAGTGATAATAGTATAAACCGTCCATGTGCACCAGATGCCACCTTTGTTGCTGTTTTGTCATATTAAACAAATTCTAACAAAAGCATGTTACGGCCCCGAGGTGCTCAGAGACATTTACAGATCCTGCACATGAGACTCCTCTAACTTGGCGCCTGCTTATTGAAGCCTGCGAGTGCTCCATCTGTCCACATGGCGGGCCGTGCGGTGCATGCCTGCTCTGCAGCCCAGCTGACACGGGTGCTTCATGCTCTCTGTTTGCCGACAGTGGTGCCCCCTGGAAGCCCCGGCCCCATCACACGACATGAATCGTATGACAGCCTGGCATCTGACCTCAGCGGGCAGGAGGATGAAGAGTGGCTCTCGCAGGTGAGTGATGGGGCCTGTCTCCGCACAGTTTAGCGTGTAATCCCTGTCTTTACAGAGAGGCGGCACTGCGTGTGTCCTCAATCTCCTCCTGAATAGTCCTTGCAGATATCACAACTTTATAAGGCCACACCTACAAGTCTAGTCGAGAAACCACTCTTGTCCGTAGATCCTTTGAAGCTAATTTATTAGCCATGATCAGTAATAAAAGATACAATTTTGAGAATTAACATGCCTAGTTTAGAGTAAGCATCTCATTCACGTGTACTGTTGTATTGTTTTTCAGAGTTAGTCCACTAAAGTTAACTGTTGTAGAAGATTTATAATAAAGACACAGAACTATTTTTTTTGGCAAGGATCACTCCTTGAGTTGGTTTTGTGTCATCTCTGTCTGATCTTGGACCTGCAGTGTCCAGCTCATAAGACTGTATGCTACCAGGGCATCAGGTGTTAAATAACCATTTTGTCACCAATAATTTGATGGCAACACCATTCAGAAGACGGCATTCTGCTTATACCATTTCTGTATCCTTTTGTGAATGATACTAAATATACTAATCAAGTTCCTCGCTGCATAGTTTTTCTTTTTATGTGTTTTCAGATAGATCAAACTATCTATATGTCGTATTCTCTTCTTTCCTTCTTTCTTTTGCACTTAAAACATTATCATTGTTTTTTCACTTATTATTATGTTTAGATTGACTTAACATTGTGCCAAAACAGGATGATCAGAATGATAGGATTCTTTGCTGTTATTTAAATGTCACTCACAAACATGTGTTCTTAACCTCGTGATTTTCTATCAGCTGTAAATTGTGTCATTTTTCAAAGCACCATGCCGCTGTAGTTTACATTGCATTGAATTATAGTTAGATTTTCTTCATAATCCAGTCATGTCGGGTTTTGTAATGAGGCAATCAGTCCATTTTGGGCAAACAAAGCAGCTGATTTAACATGGAGTACAAGAGCAAATGCATTTAGATTGGCCAATATACAATATAGAAAATTAGAAGTACAGACACTCACGAGGCATGATAGGATGCACTTACAGAGAATTGATTTGTGTTTTCTGTGGAAAAAAATGCATGCACAGTTTTGGAATTTTTTACTTTGGGAAATAAAAATCCATTTAGCAATCTACAGCTAACACATACATTCCATCTGTTTGAACACTTGATTGTAAAACACTTAATGGGTTAACACTAAGATTAATTATGTACGAATTTACACTTAAATGCTGCATTACTCCCATAGCTTCCGGGACAAGCTCTGGATAGCTCTGGCCCTTACCAGGAATAAGAGGCTTCTGATAATGGATAGATGATTCTACCGAATAATTATATGCTGTTCTGTCCTCACCTTGCCCATAAAGTCAGGAAACAGAGTTGTACACGCCAAAGACAGTTTTGCTTGACTCAATAAAACATCTCTGAATCCATTATGACTTTTATCTGTGGTCAGGACTGTTCTGATTTTGGTGGATCTTTTTTTCAGATGAACTGATGTATATGTAGGATGACAGCTATTAGGTTAATACCGTATAAACCTTCTAGACTTTTTATACACAGTATATATAATCCATATAAGACTTGCTGTGTCAACAATAAAGGCAGTGCGTGAAGAAGCACTGTCCTTCATTAGGGTTTGTGGTGAAAATCTGTGGGTAATGAGTGCTGTCAGTGTGAAGTAGGTGCAATATGTCACTCTCGAAAATGACAGGAGGGTCGATGGGAACATCTGGCCATAGCCTGAGTAAAAACTGCAGCGGCATCTGTTTGTCTCTCGGCTCTGCAACACTGATGGTGTTAACTGCAAAAAAACACAGCAATCCTCTTCTCTGGCCTAATTTACACAGCTGTGCAGAGGATGCGTCATGCAACTCAATATTAAATTCATAAGCTGTCGCCCTGCTTTCTGGATTTAATACTTTGCTGTAGAGATACAAAAGGTTATTGCATGGAAAGAAGCTGCAATGATCATTCTTATTCTGTGTTTTTACGTGCGTATACTTCTAGTATAAATAAAATGATCCCTTTCCAGAATGTATCTTTACTTTACCCTGATGTATAGGCTTTAAATATTCTTAAAATGTCATTTTAAAAGGCCAAACTGTAGTAAAGTTTTCTTTTGTTCTTTTCGAAGAACTTGAAACAAGAAATTGCTAATGCATAGAAAACCACTCTTATCACATGCAGTAAAAGGTATTTTATATGTGTTAAACAGTATTTTTTATTTGCAAAAGGTGTAAGTAAAGTCAGTCTACAAAACACATCGGCGTCATTTTGTCTGCCAGTATCTTAGTATTGTACTTTTCACATTTCACAGCTCCTTTTTTATGTCTGACATGAGCTTCGATTTTACAGATGAAATGCATTACGGATTACCCTGTAACAGACAGGGCTTCTGGGGCACAGGCGCAAAACGGTTTAACACCTTACGTAAGAGATAAAAACTACAACATTGTGTCAGTGAAACAATTCACCGAGATTTTTTCACATGATTTTTCTTTTTGCAAAACGTTTCCCTTTGCTGCTGTCCAGCGCTTTTTTTTAAAGGTCTGAAATAATTTCAAATGCAGTTTTTCTTCTTTTCTTTGTTGTTGAATCTTTTAAGAAAAAATCTTTCTTGAAAATGCAAGCAGTTAAGAAATACGTTAGAACATGGCGACTGGTGCTCTTGAGTGCTGCAACAGAACCTGCATTAATTTTACCTAAGAACATAAGAAAGGTGTACGAGTGAAGGCCATTCAGCCCATTTACTCTGTATGGTAGTTAATTGTTTCTAATGGTTAATTCATATGAGCATCTTTCCCAGCATCAGCTTCAACAACATGGCTAGGTAGCTTATTCCATAGTCCCACAAACCAAGCATTTAGAAGCATTGTGGCAATCAGCATGTTTTCTGAATCACTGTATTCAGCAAAGATGATATGATCTTTGCACAGCAGGATAATTTCCACTCTGAAGTTCAAAGGTATTAAGTCAGTGTTGTGTAGATGTGTAGTGGCATTGCTCAGTCAGGAATTCCTCCGAGTGCTTCAGCCCCCAGACCTGATGGAAGCAGACCTGTGAATAACACGATCCTGTAGTGGTATCCATACTGCACTGCGCCTGCAGGGACTCACATTAGCACAGTACAGCTCTGTGGTGTGGATAACAAAACCACACATCTGTCCTTTTTCCATCTTACCGAACTAGATGGAAGCACAGTCATTCTGCAGGTGCTTCCTTCCCATCTCTCTGTGAATTATTGCAGTATTTTGCAATATAAAATATATAGCAGCTTTCGTATGCCTTTCTCTTACCCTCCTGCATTTGAAAACGGCCCACAGTGAAACAAAAGGCAATGCCCTGATAAAACCACCGAGCATGTCTCTGATTGCCACTACAGGTGGAGATTGTGACTCACACTGGGCCGCACAGACGACTGTGGATGGGTCCCCAGTTCCAGTTCAAGACCATCCATCCGTCGGGCCAGACTACAGTCATATCCTCGAGCTCCTCTGTGCTGCAGTCTCAGGGGCCAAGTGACACGCAACAGCCCCTCCTCGATTTCGACACTGACGATCTGGACCTGCACAGCCTCAGGTATCTGCGGCCATATGGTGTCCTTCGCACAGTGACACTGGGGGTACTGTACCCCTTCACTGACGCGCTGCCGTACCCCTGCAGTGACAGTGCTGTAGCCCCGGGAGCTTCACTCTGCCATAACACCACTGCAGCGACTGCAGCCCCCCCATTCAACACACACACTGACATTGCTGTAACTTCTTTGCTCTTTCTCACACTGACCCTGTACCTACTGGCTGACTGTATAATAAGGTCTGTTGCTGTATAACTGGTAAGTATATCTTCCACATTTCTCAGTGACAAGTACATACTGTCTCTTTAAACTGCTTGCGGTGACAGGGCAGCTCCTTCCTGCAGCTCCCACCCTTGACACAAGTATTGCTTTATTTACACCAATATGTCTGTGCAATGTTTAACATTTATCTGTATAGTTCAGCATCATCCCCTTGGCACTTTGTGTCGCTTGGCAAATAAAAACAATCTCTGTACAGACTGTGTCACACTGCTTTAGCACTTACACCAGCAGCCATATCACTCTGCAACTCACAACTGGCAACCTCAGCACTGAAGCTCAGCAAGTGTGAGCCTGGTCAGTACCTGGATGGGAGACCTCCTGGGAAAAACTAAGGTTGCTGCTGGAAGAGGTGTTAGTGGGGCCAGCAGGGGGTCCATGTAGGTCCTAATGCCCCAGTATAGTGAAGGGGACATTGTACTGTAAACAGGCACCGTCCTTCGGATGAGACGTAAAACCGAGGTCCTGACTCTCTGTGGTCATTAAAAATCCCAGGGTGTTTCTCGAAAAGTGTAGGGGTGTTACCCCAGTGCCCTGCCTAAATTTCCCCCTGGCCTTTACCAATCATGGCCTCCTAATAATCCCCCTCTCTGAACTGGCTTCATCACTCTGCTCTCCTCCCCACTGAGAGCTGGTGTGTGGGGAGAGTACTGGTGCATCATCCAGGTGGGGCTGCACACTGGTGGTGGTGGAGGGGATCCCCATTACCTGTAAAGCACTTTGAGTGGAGTGTCCAGAAAAGTGCTATATAAGTGTAAGCAATTATTATTATTATTATTATTATTATTATTAATAATAATAATTGGTTCAATTGTCAGTTATAGTCCCAGTTAAGTGAGATGGTATTTTTTCTGAAATATAAGAAACGTAATCATGGCAAGGTAGCCTGAGCCCTGCGTTTATCATATGAAAAAAATGACCGATGGGGTTCCCTGCTTGTGTTGAAGGATCCAGCCTGTGCGCTCAGAGCCGGTAAGCATGCCAGGGTCCTCAAGACTCATGACAGATCGCCGGGGACAGTCTACGGTAATCGATGCAGGATCAGGTAAGGATGAATGGCAGCTGTTTTGTTTTGTTTATTATTTCCAAAATGTTAATCAACAGTTTCCTAATTGATCAACTGTAGTTTCCATGTTGAGTTGTACATTCAGTATAGGAAGCCGATGGTTACTCAAAAAAACTGGCTTTCATTCAGCAGAAATGAAGAATTATGGTTTTAAACCTATTATAAATGGATGCATAGACTCCTTTTTCCTGATCTCTGTCTCAGATTAAATTGATCTTGTTTTAAAGAGATTTTGTTAACCTACCTTTTATCTTGTTTCTCCATCATAATATTGAGAATAATCCAATCAGCTATGATTTCTCCTGATGTGCCTTTTGTTTCTCTCAAAGTCTGCTCTGTTGCCACCACATTGTTTGCAGCACGGTAGATACATTTTTTATTTAAAAAAATTAGAAACACTCTGAGATTATTTTAAACGTTCAGCGTGATGAAGCAAAAAAAAAATCTCTTCCCTTGTTCACCTTGGCTTCTGAGCCATTTTTCGTATGATGTTGAATTCCACTCTGTAAAACGTTAACTGCTGTCAGGTTATGCATGCTGCTGCTTTTTTTTGTGTGTATTCACTTGAAATTAAAATGATAGTTTACGATTGTTTTTTTGCCCATTCTGCTCGATTTTGCTTTATTCCTCCCTGAACATATAAACTTGCAGTAGATTTATTATGAACTCCGAGGCCAGGACAATATAAAGATTAATGGATTATTTTTTAAAGCATTTAAAGTGAATATAATTGACTTGCAATACAATAGAGTATTTTTAGGTTACTTTTACACTGCTGTAATTCTGGGTAAAATTGGAGTAAGCCATCTTTACAGTTACCTTGTGGTTAACCCCTGTTTTATTCTTATTGTCATCCAGGAAGACTCTTGTCTGTCTTTCGTGTAAAGTGCATCTGAGCGTCCTTTAAGTGCTTAATTGCATTTACACTAACAGTGGCAAATGGGTGCTGTCCAAGCTGTACCTTGAGGATGTTACTGAGGCAGGTCTGAAGTAGCCAGTGTCTGCTTTGTGAAAGCAGTCTCATTAGGAAGGCTCTGTTCTGTTTGCCTTTTTTTAAATCAGACCATAAATTTTTATTACCTGATTTGAACCAGGAAGCGATTCCTCCATAGAGGGTCTGGAGCAGCCCCAGTACTGGAGGAGACTTTGCTGGCTTTTATGGGGCGATGCTTATCAGTCTGTGTGATTGCTTGCTGCTCAGGGTTATAACCGCAGTGGCGCCTTGTCTTATCACAATATATCGCTTTGTCTTACCTTCAAAAGGGTGCATGTGCCTGTTTGTCCTGAGGATTATAACAGTTGATCTTGCAATATGTTTTACGGCTTGTTTCCTATTAGCAACAGCTGTAAAAGGAGGTACTGCGTTAAGAACATACAAATGAGATGTCCATAATCATTGATATACACTGCTTTTATGAAACCATTGGCGCCTCTGATTCACTTAAGTGTGTTTTGAATGTTATAAAAATATGTATGCTCTTGCCAAGTTGGCACAGAGGCTTTCTCACAGACATCACAGACAACATTTTAACTTGACCGAAGTGTTATCATGACAGAAATACATTTTCTGTTTATGAATACTGCAGGATGCTGATAATATTTAGAAATTACGTGTTGCTATTTTTTTGCATTCAGGAGGAATAATTTTTAAAAATGCAATATTCCTTAATTTTTTTTAGTATTCTTTACTGCCCCAAAACACTGTACTTGCTGTGTACTCCATGTTATAGTGGTGGGTGGGGGCAGGTAAAAATCAGTCCGATTCAGCATGTAACGCACATTATCAATATTCCTATCAGGGTCCGATCATCCCTCTGAAGTGTGTAGACTACACAGGCCTTTTGTGTTGAGGAGTAAGAAATGCTTAATCTCTCCGGGTCTGATAAACAAGAGAGAAGAGTAGAATTCCTTTGATTTTGTTTTGTTATGACTCAGTAAAAACACCCTGTCATTTGTTCTTTGGAAACACTTTCCGTTCAGGACGTTTGTTATTCACCGGGATTATCAAAGGCTGGGGATCTCAGTGCATAAACGCATGGAAGATGCTGGCTTGTTAGGAGTTTGGATAAAGAGCTTGTGATATCTGAAAGTGTGACATAACTCCATCCTGTTTGTGAGTCCAGGCTGTTTTTCTGTTAATGCTGCAGCAAGGACGCGAGTCCCAGGTGCTTTAACATGAGGTGATATTAAGATGGCATTGTTGTGACGTAAACTGTCCTAGAATCTCGGGATTTGTCTGTGGATTTCATTGAAAGATGTGATGGATTATCTGTTTCCTTAAATTTAAATGCTTTGAAGGGCAAGGAATCTGTCTGCAAAAGGAAAAACGTAAGAAGTAGAAAAGAAGGTCACAGTAAATCATCTGTCACTTAATACATTCAACAGTACGTCCTTCAGTAGTCACAGAAAATAAACGCTGTGAGCAGAGCTGAATGTTGTATGCTGAGTCACTTAGGAATGTTTTTGAACACTGAACCAAAAGCTCTTTCCTCAAGGGCTGATATAGTCATTGTGCCTCTGTCTCAAGCATTACATTTTTTAGTGAAAAGGACCCCTTTTAAATCTCTCCAAAAAACATTTAAAAACATGTTTTTTTACACCCAAGGTAAAATAATTTGTCCTTATAAACTGTGCTTTTTGAAAGTTATATATACCTTATGTGGTATATAAGATACGCTGAGATACAAGAACAATGATTCTTTTGGCTGGTCGTCGGTAAGCGACAGAGGTGAAACAAATCCGACTCTGTGTTTGAAGGTATCGGGGTGTGCGACCATGCCCGGCCAGGGCAGACTGAAACACAGGTAGCTCTGCCTCAGGCCAGTGCTGACAGGGCTGACTGGTCACTGGTTTCCTGTTACCAGCACTGCAGAGGCCGCGAGAAACCTGGCGTCTCCCAGACTTGAAAGCCCTGTGTGGCTGAGTGGAGCTGGCCTGGGCAGCCGGGCCCTCGCTAGCGCGGCGGTAATGGATATGGCCTGGGGACGCTGACCCGGGGCCTGTAATTACCTGCAGAGGATAAAGGCAGTTTGTTGTTGGAGATAGTGGTCACATTCAGGCCCAGAGGGTCTGGAGAGGCAGGGTGCGGGGCGTCTCACAAGATTCCCATTCACGGTACCTGAGAGGATTTTATAAAAGCAATATGGGGCCATTCTTGTGACCCCTTCGCTCAGCTCTGTCCCCTTGGCGGGACACCGCCACCTGTTCCAAAAGAAAGGAAGTTTTCACCCGCCCTCTTCCTCCACAACCGACTCCTTTTTCTCCCAGTGACCTAAAGGCCTTCAGTAGAATGAGAAAGGTGCGATTAACCTGCTGCTGTGTAGACTTCTTATTTTCGGTCTTCATATTCATGGGACTGTGAGGTACCTTTAATAAAGGGTACTGGTCAAATCTTATTATGCCTTATTTTTTAGAATTTATTTTTCTCTTTTTCACCTTTGTCAAATAATTGTTCAGCGTGATCTTGTTCCAGCCCAGGAGATCTGAGCACAGCCCAGGCCTTCCGAGCCAGGTGTCTCCTAGCTGTTCGCTTCTTTTCGCATTGGGAGCCCAAACTGAACTGAACTGGTGTCAATCAGAGGACAGAAAGCCCAGCTGCCAAACTCTGCCAGCTGTAAATCACCTTGCCTCCAGTGTACCCATGACCACAGCTGACTTGTGGCAGAGCCTGAACCTTTACCCTGCATCCAGCACTCCACCACAATCTTCCCTGGCTTAGCTAACAGTGGCTGTCTAAAAGTTTGATATGGTAGTATTAATTATTATTATTTATGGTCTTAGCAGGCATCTTTATCTGGGGTGTCTCCTAACTAAATCCCGATCAGTGAAATTACTGTTGTGCATACACTGGTTACTTAGCATTTGTTTTTGAAATTCTGGTTTTAAGGGGGAGAGCTGTGTTTTAAGCATGACTGACAAAGCGTGTAATGTATTTAATAGAAGAGAAAAGGTGAAATGCTATAATTTAGACCTAGAAAGCACCATTACTGATTTTGCTTTCATATCTTCTCAATGTAGTGCATTGACATAATATAGAATTCCCTTTGAACTAAACTAAAATCTGGAATTGCTTTGTTTGCTGAGCACTTGGAGGTTGTATTTTGAACCTGTCAAGCATTTACTGGCTTTTCCAATGACCTCTGTATTTCTTTTTTTATTTTAAAATAAGAATTACAGGTCTGTGGAAAGTGCTGTGGAAGCATTCAGGAAGGGGTTCTTTGAGTAGCTACCAGTAACTGTACAGGCAAGATGTGCTAAATTGAACCCATGCCTGTTCAGTGTTTCTCATCTTCATTCATTTTCATGTAGGCAGCCATGCCTTTTTACTCTGATGTTTTCTTGCTCCGAATGAAGAAATCCACTTTCTGGCCCCTGCTTAGATAGGCTTATTAGTTTGGTTTCTTTCAAAGGCCTTTTTGGAAAAATTTAAATCAAATTGCTTCAGCACACGTCCAAAGAAAAGCACCAATTTACGAAGAGTGTTGCATGTAAGAAATAGAAAAAAATAACTGTTGGTCATTTGAAGTTCAATTTGTAAATTTATTTTGCTGTTTTTAAAAAAAAAATTTTTGTAAGGAAGCAGCTGATGGAGATGAAAGACTTCATATGGCCGAATGAAGAGTAGTCCATATCATTGTCACCCACTGAAATTTGCTTTATTTAAAATAGAAATGCAGATAATTTACCGAGTCCTTATTTACAGTCTCTGTAAACATCCTCGTTCTGTGATAGTGGCTTTTACTGCCAGGGGCATGGTATGCAGAGCAGCTGCTGTTTAAAGCGATTGAATGGACACTGATGTGTTTGGCAGCTGCAACATGTTCCCTTAAAATGGACTACCTCTGCAGAGCTATCAGAGCATCTGTGAGGTCTTGGCTTTGGTCAACCTGGCCTGTTTCAGCAGAAATACGATTAAGATGGTGTATGTGAGTATCAGTCACACCTCTATGTCTTTGATGAGAATATACTCTTCCAAGTGT